GCCAAGAATTGGTTTTATCGTGTTATGCTCGATTTTCTGGACTGTTGTTTGAGCTCCACCTCGAGTTTGACGAGCTGAACATTTTTAGACTCTGCTCGACTCAACAAAGAGACAAGTGACAAGTGATCGAAATCAACTCTGAGTTATAAGGAAAAAAGAAAGAAAGAAAGAAAAAAAATGTGAATGTGAAAAAGTAACGTAAAAACTTTTGATTCAACTATTTTCGTTGACCCATTGTTACATGAGTCAGGACAAGTCAAGACGGGGCAATGTCAATATTGGAACCTATTTTGTTTGTGAAACGGTGCGGACTCGTCTTGGTCTTTTTTAAATATGAGATGGATTCAAATTGCTCCAAATACTTCGAGCCAAGTTGGACCAAACCAAACAAATCCGAGTTAAATTGTCATTCTTAGTTCTAACTCGTGAATCCACTTGATTCTTTTCCAACCCAGATTTTGAGTTGATACATTTTTATTAAAAAATAAGACATGTCAAGTATATGAATTTTGGAATATGTCTACCTTTTTGTGATTTGATTGGGAAAATAAATATTTAAGAAAAAAAATGTATAATCTTACCATAATATGGTTTTACTTGCAAAGCATAAGTGCAACTAATTGTGCGGGAAAGTTTGTGTATGTTTAATTTGATTGAATTCGTTAAAAAATAATCATTTTGTTCCCTGAAATAATCAGTTGCCTATATAAAAATATGATATCCATCTATATCTATATACATATAATAAGAATTACCATTTATCAAAACTTAGTACAGAGCCCGTGCGATGCATGGGGTGCACAATTTTAAGGCTATTTATCCAGACTTATAATTATATACATGAATAAAGAAAAATGTACGGGATATATATAGTACGTGACCCGTGCGAAGCACGAGATATATTTATTTGGAGAATATTATATTATAAGATGCAATATTCAATAAAAGTTTATAATACGCAAGAAATTTGTACAATGTTCAATAAAAATTTATAATATTCAAGCGGAGTCTTAAAGTCTCTTGTACATTAAGACTACTGACAAAATAATATTTTAATCAATGAGTTTCCTTTCCTTGTAGCCAAATTGTGAATGTGATTTGAGGAGTACAACAAATCGATATATAGTTGACTTGCTTTTTTCATTGTAGTTTTTTTTTCTTGTTTTTATAATGAATTTAAAGATATTCTAAAATATAGCAAAAATTAATTTTTTTTTATTACAATTAGGAATTTTACTAAATAATGACTCTCAATCTATGGTGTTAATCAACGTTTAAGTCTAAAAAATTAGGAATCTTTACCTCTTTTAATCAACGTTTAAGTCTAAAAAACAACAGAGTTATTATAAGTTTTTTTCTACATCTTTTAAAACATTAAATATGAACATGTTAGGGCTAGCTTGTAAAATAATTAATATATTATCTCACTAAAACATTTATACTAATAAAAATTTAATTTTAGCATATAAATTATCCTTTGATATAAGAGAAAGTAACAGTTTTACTTATTGTTGTTCACCATATAATATTTAATTATTATTTTATTATATAATAAAAAAGAAATATTGTTAAATAGTGTAGTAGAATTGTTATAAAATTATATAATTTTTTTTTTACAATATGGATTTAATATTTTTTTATGATTTGATAATATAAACAAATCTATACTTAATTTTGACAAATAAAACAAATAAATACTTTAGTAAGTATTTAATGTATATACTAAATAGGAATATATTTGGTATAATCAAATAACAAATATAATCAAATAAGTCAAAGTGTACATTTTTATTTGGTATTTGATTTTTTTATTATTAAAATCTTTTTATTATACTTACCTTTTTAAAATAAAACAAATAAATAAATCAATTAAATAAATAAAATATTATAATACCAAAATAGTAATGACATTTAATGCAGTTGACTTTTCTGGATAATAAATATAGTAAATAGAATCTCTTTTTATATAAGTATAGATGTGATATTATATTATGTTGCTCAAAATAGTAATGGATTTATTACTTTGACTTTTTAACTTACTAAATTTCGTAAATGGTACACCTTATTATATAAGTATAGATAGTATCAAAAAAATAGGCCAGAATTTAATACAGTCTATAAATAGTAAGTTTTATTGTTTTTCTTATTTTTTTTAAAAAACAACGAACAACATTAAAATCTCGGTCTCTATATTTATAAAATCTCAATTCAAAAATTCAAAATATAACAAAAGTTTTAGAATATCGGTCTTTATATTTGTTTCTTTAAAAAAAAAATATTGAACGCTAAAAATATTCTTTAAATTGCATAATCAATCAATAAAACTTATTTTTTTGAAAATTATTATGTTTATTTATTTATTAATATACATAAAGTAAAAGTAATTAATTCATCTTTAGATATATAATTTATAATCTTAATATACTATCATTTGGTGTATACATTTATAATATGAATCATAAAATAATTTTATTTCATAAAATTAAATTAAAGAAAATAGGAAATTTTCTTCGAATCAATCGGGTGATTGAATTAGGGTACTGCCCAGGTTGATTGAATTACTTTTAGGTGATATTTAAAATATTCAAAAAATTTAACACAACTTGGTTGGTCGCAGGTGACTAAGTTATGTATCAGTTCGATCATACCAAATCGATTATTGAACATAAATATAAATTTTATATTGAAAATATTTTATTACGTGAATGTGATGTAGTCCAAACTTCATATAATCGTATTAACGAAACTTTTATGACAACATGTTTAATGATTTATTAATATATCATTTTATTAATATTTACGTGAATTAAATAATATTTTATTATAATATTTATTAATGTACAGTAAATATAAGGTTTTTAGAACTGGACCGTCATCAAAACGATCAAGCTATTTTATTAAATCATTTGTGGTTTGTTCAGATTTTAATTTATAAATATTTTAATATATATACATAGTATTTTTTGTAATCAATTTAAATAAAATGTGTTACTTAGATATCTAAAAAATTGATAAATTCAAATGTTTAAACTAATTGATAAATAATTTATAAATCTCTATTTTATTTAAATATGTAATTTTATTCAAAATAATTTTAAATATAACAAAATTTATTTAGAAAATCGCATCGATCCTACCAGTCCAACCGACTAGTGTTGACGGATTCGAAAGCAAATATTTTATTCAAGCGAACTAGACGGGTTATAAATCGGTTCTTGGTCCATCCGATCGGACTGTGTCCAACCCGGTTTAATTTAAAAACAATGGATAAATCATGATTAATGTTATTTATATATTTAATATATAATCTATATATATATAATAAGAATTAACATTTTTAAAAAATAGTAAGCAAAAAAATAGGGAATATTAATTGCATTCCATTTTTGGTATGTTTTTTAATTTTTTTAATAAAAAATCAAGTAGCATTTAATGCTAGCATAAATCATGGGATTTGTTATATAGATGCATATTTAAATTTCAAACTTCAAACAAAACATGCCTAAATGTATTTTTAATTTTTAGTGGAAAAATTTAACAAACACGTTAAAGATTTCATACAATGCATATATTAATATATATTATCTTAACATATATGTTAATTAGTTTCATATCTAAACAATATATATTTAAACAATATATAAGCAAATATATTAATTTGTCGTACAATACAGACAAATATATAAACAATATATTTATATACAAATATAATAAACAAATATAATAAACAATACAAACAATATATAAACAAATATAATAACTTTTCACGTGTATATTTCGTACAATACATATATTTATATATATTTTCTTAACATATAAGTTAATTAGTTTCATATCTAAACAATATATATTTTAGGAACTTAAAGATTCATAACATTACTAACGTCATGTATATTTATAATATATTGTCACGTACATTTTACTACAATTGGTAACTTTTGTAAAATTATTTGAAT